CTTTTTTGTCTTGCCACTCATCCAACTCAACATCCTCATATCCACTACACTTATTCTATGGGTATATTATTTTTTGTCTGCCTAATATTCTGCCCTATAGAACAAAGCTGGTTTCACTATTGTCCGATAGAACTTGCCCTTCAGCCTCATTGCTATGCGGTGATCATACAAAATTTCAGTTGCACATCTCCACTTAGTCCATCAAGCTCTAATTCTGTGTGCGATATCTTCATCAACCTCTCCATTTTTCTGGACTATCGACCTAAGATATCGAAATTGCAATCTTTTTTGTACTTTCTGGTCGTCATTATTGATTACTTCATCGTCTCTACTATTATTATTAAACTGGCACTCCATATACTCTATCTTAGACTGACTAATTTTAAAACCTTTAGATTATAGAATATCCTTCCAAAGTTATAACTTTACGTTGATCTTGTTTCGGGTCTCATCAATCAAAACTATGTCATTTGCGAAAACATGCACCACGGTACTTCCTCTTGTAGGTGTCTAGTTAAGTTGTCCATAATTAACACAAAGGGGTACGGGCTCAATACTAACTATTGATGGAGACATACTGTTACTGAAAACTCATTCGTCTCACTACTAATTGGTCGTATACTAGTGAACGCTCATGCTCCATCGTATATATTTCTCACCAAGTCGGAGTAGTGCTTAGAGACACATTTCTTTTCCACGCCAAATCAAATATCGAGGTACTCTATTATAAGCTTTATCTAGATCAATAAAGACCATGTGGAAGTCTTTTCCATTCACTCTAAACTTCTAAAGCAATTGCCTAAGTAGGAAAATAGCCTCAGTTGTTGACCTTCCTGACATAAAACTAAATTGATTTTCAAATACACTTGTTTCATTCCTTATTCGTTGCTCAATGACTCTTTCCCAAAGCTTCATAGTATGACTCATAAACTTGATCATTTACACAATTCTATATATCTCATTTGTTATCGTAAATAGGTACCGTCTGGCATTTTATTTATTCTAAACACCTATTTAAACAACTTCGTTAACCAGTCAATGTCAATTTCCCCCATGCATTTCCAAACCTCTATCGGGATATCATCTGGTCCTAAAGTATTTCTTATCTTCATATTTTTTAAAGCTTAATCCTACAGATGTATCTATGACCGCCGCAGTCACTTGTACCAACTGTCGCTTGTACCACTATGTTCCCATTGTGTTCGTCATTTAATAATTTTTGAAAATAGACTATCCACCTTTCATTGACCTCGTCATCATTCACCAATACCCATTTGATCATCACTTTTAATGTATTTAATATGGTTTAAATCCCTACATTTTTTCACTCTTATTTTTGCTAATTTGAAAATATAGTTTTCACATTCTCTTTATCTCAGTTTATTTTATATATTGTCATATACATTAAGTTTAGCTTTAATTATTATTTGTTTAACATTTTTCCTAGCATCTTTGTATTTTTATAAGTTTTGATCGTTTCTATTACACTGCCAAGTTTTATAACATATTCATTTTTTGCTAATGACCTTTTGAACCTTATAATTCCACCACCAAATTTGTTTATCAAAGTATCTTTTCGCTCTAGATTATCTTAACACTTATTTGGCCACTTTCTTGATATATTCAGCCATCTCATTTCATATTACATTGACAATATGTTCAGGGTTCCATTTTATTTCTTCAACTAATTTATCTCTGAATAAATTTTTTTTCTCATTTTTTAAATTCCACCACGTAGTTCTTGAACGCCTATTACTTTCACCCCTTCTCCTCCATGACTTTATCCAGATGTCCATGACCACGAGCCTATGTTGGATAGTCAACTACTCTCAAGGGATAATTTTGCAGTTTCAACATGATGGTCGATTTACTTTGTTAACTAGGAATATGTCTATTTGACTGTTATATGATCCACTTTTATAAGTGATTACATGTTCATCTTGATTTTTACAGTAAATATTTGCTATTACTAAGTCATAAGTCATATCAAAATCTAGAATAGTCTCACCCATCTCATTTCATTCCCCAAACCCATGTCCCCCATGTACCATTTCATCTCCTCTACTATCCTTCCTTACATGACTATTTAAGTCGCTTCCTAAAAAGGTCATCTCGCTATTTGCTATGTCTTAGACTATTTCATCTATGTTCTTCCAAATTTATCTCTTGATTCTATTATCTAATCCTATTTGTGGTACATTACCTTTAATTACATTTATTATCTATTCTCCTAATACGAGTTTAATTAATAAGAGCCTATTACCTATTCTTTTGACATTAAGTACTTTATCTTTTAGATATTTTTCTACTATTATGATTACGTCATTTATATTATTATCCTTTCCGGCATGTCATAGTTTATACCCATATTTTCTTCAGCTTTTTATCTTTTCCATTTAGTTTAATGTAGACAAACTATGTTTACTCTCATTCATCTCATTCTATCCCCTGTCTCCATAATCTTACATGTAAGCGTTCTTACGTTCCATGTGGCTAAATGAATATCATTATCTTGGACTAGCTTATTTACCTTTACTCGTTTAGGATGTCGTGGGAACCTTTACCTATTTTTCACCGCAACGCGGCGGCATTGTGGCGTGTCGCTTTTGGGAAACGCCCTAGCTAACCCTTGGTCATTTATCACTGTTTCTAGGGTCCAATACGGTGCGTAGCTTATGGGGAACGTCTTAGCTACCCCTTGTTCATTTAACACTATGCCTGGGTTTCGGTACAACGTGTTGCTTATGGGGAGCGCCCTGACATAAACAGATATTATAAATTTATTAGGAATCATGATGAGTTTTGACAAAATTTTATGCTGGCTGCCTACCAAACACAACCATGTCTCTTTATTCGGGCATGAGATGGATTAAGGGAAAGTTTAAGCTCACCACCCTTCTTAGACCAGGAATTCAACTGTATAAAAAACAAATAATGAAAAGTTACAATTTTATCAGTAAAAATAAGATTGCAATAATTAAAATCCATTTTATTTGGACGATATAGATTTAATATGGTTTTAAAAGACGTGCCGAATGCACACCGTCCAACTGAGATAAACAGTGTGGAACAAAACTACCTTACCTGCATTGTTGTCGCATTGTATAAGCCCACACCCATGAGCATTTCTCCCTCGTACAACCTACGTTATTTAAAAAAGAAAAAGTTCATAGAAGGTGACGACCTTACACTATACAAGTGTACCCAAAAATCCAATGGAAACAGTTGCTTTGGCATTGAAAAACCCTTAAATTGATCATCTTGACCTCAAGATTTATTAATATGAAAAAAAAGGGTTTCAAGTCCTAAAACCAGCTCATTTACCAAAACATTATTTGGACAAGCTATTTTCCCGTCTATATAGAATTACTAAATTATCAGTTTATTTGAAACTTCAAATTTCATATTTGGGGGTAACAATGGATTTTCAAGCCATCGTAATGCTTTCCAATATCAAAAAAACTCATGATTTTAGGAAAAGAGTCTTGGGTAGATTGGTTAGTGCTTGAAATTGTCAAGCCTAATTCAATTCTTATCCAGGATAAAGAAGCGAATTGGGCCCTCCCCACGAGAAAAGAAAAAAAGAAAAAAAAAAATTACAGGGCTGTCTTCTCACGGACTCACTAAAAAAAAAAAAAAGTTAAAATATAAATTTGAGGTGCGCCGTACTTCAATACTACGAGGTGGGTACCTCATACAAACCTCACGCAGCTCAAGATACACCAACCAAGATCAACGGACACCCTGTAGTTTCTACATCTGTGGCTTACCTCAGATCAAAATTGGCACGTGTGGAAGGGCAACAGGGAAGATATTGTCCATTTGTACGAATGGAGGGCTTTTTGTAAATTTTGCGACGGGTCCTTCTATGTAATTGCACAAAGGGTATCCCATGCACTTACAGTGAACTATTGCCCATGGGTTAGTATATTGAACCGACACAAGAGCATGGCGACGGATGGTGAAAGGGCACTTGACCATGGGTCTTTATTTTTTAACCGTGGTTAGGGAGAGAGGGCCCCGACGAAAAGGCAACGAATGATTTCAGTGTCTGGCTTTAGTTAGAGAGGAGGGGGCCCACGTGGCCCTGTAAAAGAGAGAGGTATCTTCTTTCTCTCTCTCCTCTCTCTCTCTACTCACTTTCCTCCCCTCTTTTTCTCTCTCTAAACCTTGTCATTATCTCTCTCTTGCCACTTTCTCTCTCTAACCTCGTTACCAGGGTGTTTTCTCTCTCTCTCTCTATTCTCACCCTCTCTCTAAGAGGCGCCGGAGTTAGCGGTTTGATGACCCCCTCGCTCAGAAAATATCGCCAAGCGATTCCGACGTTCTAGAAAAAGGTTCCCGACTCGATCAAAATTAGGTCAAAAATTATAGAGAACCCCAAATCATTCTCGTTTTTCTCTCTCTAAAATCCTTCTCTCTCTCTCTCTAAAATCCGTCTCGTTTTTCTCTCTCTCTGATGCCTGGACTGGATCAATCGATTGCATTGTACAAAATTGCAGATATTTGTTCAATCAAAACGCATTTTTTCTCTCTCTCTCTCTCTCCACGAATCAGTATCGCTCGAGGAACCCAAAATTCGTCTCTTTCCTTCATTCGATCATTGTTCCTCGTTGTGAAAACGCTATAATTTTTTATAGATATTTCTTTTGCATCGTTTTCCTTTTGTAAGTGTATCCATCTCTCTTTCTCTCTCTACAATTATCCACAAAACCTTAAATTTTGCTCTCTCCATTTGCAAACCCCTAAAATCCTTTATCTTTTCCTGTAAATCGCTGTCTTCTCTATGTTTCTTTCCCTTTTTGTCTCTTGTTTCTTCTCCCTCGCTCGCTTTCTCTCTCTCTCTACATTTTCATTGTAAATTCCTGTCCTCTTCTGCATTAACTCCAATTTTGTATTGCTTTGTCATTTCTTCTGTGAACTCGTCTTCTTCTGCATTCCATATTTTCTTCTTGTTTCTCTTCCATATCTCCCTCTCTCTTATTTCCCTTTAAATCCCTGTTTATTTCTCTCTATTCGTTTTTTCTGGTCTCATCTCTCTCTCTGCTATCTCTCTATCCCTCTCTCTCTCTGTGATCTGGGGAAAAGGAATGCCTATTTATGACCTAGACTCGCTGGATAAATTATTCGAGGGTTGATGGAGTGCTTCTGACACTCTGCTTGCTCAGGGTTGGGCAAATATAATTTATTCAATTTTTATTTTGAACCTTAGTGGTTTAGGTCTCGCATGGGTTGCCTCAGTGGCTAAAATGGTGGAGATAAACAAACAGGGGGCGTGATCTCATTCATTGAGCTGGTATCAAGAGAAATTGGATAGGCTTTTGTGTAATGTTGATGAAGATCGGTGACAGAGAGGAGGAAAAACAGCTGAGCAAAAATGCATTTTGCAAAACTAGACGATTCTCCCATGTTCAGGAAACAAGTATGCTTCTATATTTCTCTCTCCACCCCTCCAAACCCTGCTCCACTACTCTCGAAATTCAAAATTTTTATTTTGGTTGAGTTTATGCATCAATGGACCAATTGGCTTCCTGTGGCGACGAGGTTTGTTGATTCACTAATGTGACGCACTTTACTATGTTGAATCTGTTATTGATTTGAATATAATATAGCTAATTCATGCAATGCTGAGTTATAGCAGCAACCTATTTTCCCTTACTGCCCCTTTGCTATTCCAGTAGCTAAATTTTTAGTAGGAGCTTTTCATTTTTGTTAGAAATCCTTAGGTAAAGAAACTTTTTGCTTAGAAATTTGTTCTTTTTTCCCCTGAGGTTGGGGTCTCATTATTTTGTTTCTAAATATCTGTTTAATGTAAATTATAAAAAAACTAAAATTTCTTCATGTTATTGATTGCTGGGCCACTCGAGGAAACTGAAAGTTTGATTAGTCTACTATGGTTTTCTATTTTTTTATTATCTGTAATTGATGCAGTTTGGGTTTGGAACCTGGATGTTTCCCTGGAGGGAGTGTGTCAATATAATTTTCCAGTTACAGTGATCCTCTTTGTATATTTTAATACCTTGAATGCATATCTGTATTTGGAACTCCATGCATAGCTCAGAATGAAGAGTGATTTCAATTTTCTCTTTTGTGATTAGTCTGCTATGGTTTTCTATTTTTTTATTATCTGCAATTGATGCAGTTTGGGTTTGGAACCTGGATGTTTCCCTGGAGGGAGTGTCAACATATTTTTCCAGTTACAGTGATCCTCTTTGTATATTTTAATACCTTGAATGCATATCTGTATTTGGAACTCCATGCATAGCTCAGAATGAAGAGTGATTTCAATTTTCTCTTTTGCTTTGACCTTATAAGTATTCTCTTGACTTCTGTATGAGGAACATCCATTCTTGATATCTGCAAGACATGCATTAAATTGAGATATTGATCGTTTGTCAGGAAACTCACTACCATGTCTTATAGATGAGATTTGAATGCTTTCATGTGCTTCAGTAGTTGATTTATGAGTTCGTTGTGCGATAGTTTTACAAGAAAAATTTATGGATGATATTTGGAGTTATAAATTTGGTACATGTTAGGAAGTATGTCTATCTGCATGTTTGTCAGATTAAAGTTCCCCATTCTTAGACGGATTGAAGAATCTCTTAACCCCATGATTAAACCCCAGGGATCCAATAACATATCTTATTGCGCCTCGTAGAATGACCTTGATCCAAAACAAGAGCTGCAGTTCTCTTATTCTTTCATATGTATTGAGTAAAGGGAAACTGGTAACTGTAAAGTCGCATTGGTTCCTCTATTTCCTGGGTCACAATTCAAGGACCTAACTGGAGACATAAAGACATTGGGAAACGACAGAGTCCCATCTGTTTGTGCAACTTTTTGTTTTCAAAAAAGAGAAAAAATCGAGGAGATGATCCACAACATTCTAATCTAACACAATTCGAACATTTGGAGTTTGTCATTCTTGCCTATGCATTAGCATATATCATTGTGGAGGTCCCTCACATTGGAGGGGTTTATTTATAGCCTTAGCGGCATAGGGGCATTCTTCCAAGCATAATTACTTGTACTCCAGCACAATTCACAAGTGTGCTCTATTCTATATTTAATTTTTGCCATGGTAATTAACCACATAAATTTTGTGACCTGCCCATCAGTATAGTACACAGCCTAATCAGGTTTAAAAGTAGAAATAGAAAGACTGGAAAGATGATGGAGGTGGATATTGTTTCCTAAGAGTTGACTAAGTGTCTGAAGGCTAAAAAGATACGTGGAGGCACTCGTTCAGTAGGGCTGAAGATTGAGGCATGGGGAGAGTGGACTAAAGCTGGGAGAAGATAGTTGAGTGTAGGCTGGCTTCATTTTCAGTAGCGGGACTTTGACCCCATCTAAGTTAGCATGCTAAAATCCTATGTAGATGTTTCTAGAGAATGGTTATGGGAAGGAAGCGGGGAAGGAAGGTTTTGGATGATGTCAAGAGAAGCTGAAAGATTTGTAATAGTGGGAGATAAAGATCAAGTTTCTAGATAATTTGTTGGGTGATTTATTTGGAGAGACATTGATGTCGAAAGACCAGCAATGACACCTTGGCATGGAGGACCACTAATTTGGTTGTGCGATGGTCCTATCTGGGGTTACTTGGTAATTTCATTCCATTTCAAGAAGGAAATAGCCGAAATCTTAAGAGGTGGAGTCCCGCTACTTTTACGGTTGTGAGCTACCTCACGAGCCATAAGGGAAATTTTGGATAATCTTTTTGAAAGTCAATATTGTGTCAGTGTATGCTGTGCGATTTTTAACTTTGAATTGATGTTTGGTGAATTGATAACATGAGCCTGCTGGATTGGGGGAATTTTTTGGATGTTAAAAGTTTGATTATTCTCTTCTTTGTGAGACTTTGTCAAAAAGGACTTGCTGGTCTTTTTAAGGCTATTAGATGTGGTTGCTTTGAGTGCTGGTTTTGCTTTGTCTTGATTACTCTTTCCTTTCCTTGTGTTAAAGAGTAACTGTGTTTCTTTTTTTTTTTTGGATAACAATGTTTCATTGATCTCTTAATGCAATAAGTTGGATTTCTTGCTAGGGTTTTAATTTTGTACATATGAGGGCATTTGGACTGCAAACTTTATATTTTAGCTAGAGATACAAATACGTTTGATGAATGGCTTCTTATTGGTGAAAGTATTAGGTCTGAGAAGTGGAATTTCTACTAGTTGAGTGCAAGTTTTTAGTAACATGTGCAGTATTTCCCATGGGCATTGGGAGGTGAATCAGGTTAGGCACTCCAATCTGATTGTTAGGTGTGTCCTTTCTTCTTTGGCGTGTAGTTGTATCAGCTTGATGTATGCTCCCTTTTAGCTTTCTATTGTTCAAAATACAGCATTTCACCTTTATTGTTTACTTAACTCTTGGCATCATTCCTAAATTAAATTATATTGAGAGGTGACTGATGGCTGGTGCTTCACTTTGAACCCTATTGGATTGGCATTACTGAAGAAGTTCAGAGCTTATTGTTTCCATGTTGGATTTTTTGGACTTAGCGTTTGATTTTACTCGTTTTTTTTCTTGATATGACACCGCACTGAAACATACCTCATGTTTGTTTCTTCTGATTTATCTCATGTTCACTGAACATCTAATTAACTTGTGTTGTTCTTGATGGAACAGATCCAATCATTAGAAGAAAGTGCAGAGTCTCTAAGGGAGAGGAGCTTAAAGTTTTATAAAGGATGTCGAAAATATACGTATGTGCAGTTGCTCAATTCTCAAGTTGATGTCCTTATTCATCTTGCCTGCTCCAGTCTGTTTTTTGGTATTTTATGCTTTAGAGCAAAGTGTCAGTCAATACTTCTGCTAGGCATTTTAAATGACAAATTGTTGCGTGCGTGTTTATTTAGACTTTTGAAAGAGTCATGGTATTGTTTTTATGGTATGTTATTATGAGGAAGTCTTGAGTGATAATGATTTGAACATTTATCCACTGTTTCATAAGTTTTTATGCTCTATTTCATAATGGTTGTTTATAATTTCCATTGTTTTATTGCTCTATATTTCAAATTTTTTATAGGTATAATTTTTGATAGCTATAATGATATTGTAGCATTATGGCCTCACTGAAGGTATGTCCCTTCATAGAGCAGCATGGCGAACCAAGATTCATGTAGCCGATCCCAATTAGTTGGGAAAAGGCTTTGATGATGATGAGTGATCTTGTAGCAGTTTGTGGATGCCAATTTTCTTGCGTTTGGCTATGTCCTTTTGTAACAGTAATCCTGCTATGTGTAGCTATCAGGAAAAAAAGAAGTGATCCTACTATGTGGATAAGCATGCATCACTCAATCATTTTATGGTCAACTGTTGTTGAGAATTGGAGTCAAATAGGGTCAACTGTTCTTGAGAATTGGAGTCAAATAGGGTCAACTGTTCTTGAGAATTGGAGTCAAATAGGGTCAACTGTTCTTGAGAATTGGAGTCAAATAGGGTCAACTGTTCTTGAGAATTGGAGTCAAATAGGGTCAACTGTTCTTGAGAATTGGAATCAAATATTTAGTTTATCTTTAGCAATAAAATATAATCCAGAAAATGGGGGAGATAATTTTTTTTTGAATGTGTCAAATGTCTTTTAGTAAGTTAGCATTACAATGCAGAGTAAATTACTAAAGTGTGAGAGCAATGGAAAGGGCCATGGCAATGCTTAGGAAGCATTGCAGCAGCTAGAACTGAGCTTCAGTCCCTAGTCCTTACTGAAGTGGTTGAACATTAGTTGCTTGAATTATGTTGTTCCAATGAATACATGTCAGTTAATGTGCCCCTCAAGGGCAAGGCTCTATTGAGGTTCTGGCCTATGCATCTCTCACAGACCCACCTTCATTCAAAGAGTTGGCCCTCCCCAGAACCATGTGTACCTACTAATATCAAAGGAAGCCTTTTCCTGCTCTATTTGGAGTACAGTTAATGATGCATGTTCTGGGTATCTCATATGTTTTCCACTACATAAGAGTTCTTTGTGAGCATCAGAAGTCCTATAGTCTGGTTGGTTTTAATCTTACCAGTACATTGTCTACGTTGAGTGTGTGTGCACGCGCTCATCCATGCATGTGTACATGCATTCATGTGAATGTGTGCATGTGCGAGTGCACAAGTCTGTTTATTTATTCACAATTTGGTTGTCATTGAGTTTTTCCCACAGAGCTTGCTAGATATCAGGATATGATTTAGGAGGCTACTTTTCTTTTTAATGTTTATGTTCTGTAGTTTACGATAATGTACTTATGAATGTTAATTAAGACCGGACCTGTGGGGCACTAGTCCAGTTCAATCGGTTGAACCGGACCAGGGCATCAGTCAGATGTCAAAATAAAAATGAAAAATAGCAAAGGGAAAATAGAAAAAAAACGAAAAATACAGAAATATAGGAAAAATTTGAAAAATGGGAAAAATTTAGAAAATTATTAGGAGCAATAGAACACATATATGTTCATGGATACACAATTCATTGAGTATAACTCCCTTGCCTTTACTAATAGAACAGTCAAACAGTTTCAAAAAAAAATGCACAATTCATTGAGTAATTATAATGAAATTCAAGGCCAAAAGTCATAAAAAAATGAACCATGAATCCGATTTATGAGGTTATAGAAAAACCATTCCACACTACCACAACACAACTCCACAAGTACACATCCAAGTGTACCCAACAATTAATTGTTAGTTTGTTTTCATATAAAAAAAAAAAAAACTGAAATTGCACGAAATCCATAATATGGAATATTTTTGTCTATCAACATTTTCCATATTTCCCTTTATGTGTTAAAAAACAAAAAAAGCAAATAAGAAATAAAAGAAAAAAAAAAAAACTGAAAAAATCTAATGTTTATTGGACAAAAATGCACATAAGCAAAAAGCTACAACATTAAACTGTTAATGCAACAACTGTTATGTTGAATACAAGAAAGAAACAACATATTTCATTGATTCGCAAAAAAGAAAATATTTTTTACAAAAACCCTAAAATTCAGATTTCTTCTAGTTTTTCTAAATATAAAACAAAGAATGTAATGAACTCACTTGGGACTGGAAACAGGGCAGATTGATTGCCATAATGGATCCCCTCCTAAAGTTGCCAGAGTTTTTGCGATTTGGGGGGTTTTCAAGTATGTTTGTATGTGGCTATGTGTGTGGAGAGAGGGAGTGAATCATCAAAGTAGTTTTCTCTCTCTAAGAGCATGTTTCTTTGATGGAAGCCACAGTAGCCTTGGCTATCAGAAGATGCGGCTTCCCCTCTGTGTTTGTTACACTGGATTGGAAGCTACAACTTCCACATTCCCTGAAAACAATGTTTTCAGGAAGCCGCCCCTTCCGTGGTAAACCATTGAAGCTGCCGCTTCCATTATTTGTGGAAGAGGCGCTTTGGCAGCCCCCTCTTCTACAAGACAAACATGCCATAAAAGAGTCATTTAAACCCTCAAACCCTTACAAATATTAAAAGGGCAAACACCCTTAAGCAAAGTCAAAATGACGAAAGAGCACCTAAAAAGGGCAAACACCCTAAGCAAAGTCGAAATGACAAAAGAGCACCCAAAAATTACATAAACTGATTAAAAAATGAAAAAGAAAAGAGTTTTTGGTCATTTTGAGCCCATGAACCTGCTGATTCACCTGTTCAATGGTGTGCTGGTTTGGGACCCCTGGTCTGGACCGGTAGGACCACTCTCGTTCACTGCTTTTCGGTCTGGCCGGTCTGCTCCGGTCTTCATAACCTTGTTCTCATCCCTTTATTTTTCACCCAGCCAGTCTGGTCCAGTCTTAATGACCTTGTTCTTTACTTGTCCCTGTTATTTTTCTCATGCTTCAATTTCCTTCATGCATTTTAATGTTTCTTTGACTTGCAGGGAAGGCCTTGGAGAAGCATATGATGGAGATATTGCTTTAGCCAGCGCTCTTGAGATGTTTGGGGGAGGTCATAATGATCCAATTAGTGTAGCTTTTGGAGGTTTGTGTCTTTAAATTAATAGGATTTCATTCCCCTCTTGCCATGTTTTTATCTATATGTTTTATTGAAGTGGCTAAACCTTTTCTTTATTTTAATATTTTCTTGTCACAATTCATATTCGGGTGAATATTGATATATTTTGTGACTGTTTCATTGGATTAGTCACTATTCTCCACATGTCAACTGTCAGAAGAAAAATAATTTGTTTTCTCCATCGTGTGTCATTACTAGTCTGTTATCTTCGTGCAAATTGCTTAGTGTTATTGGCAAATAGTAGGTTGGGTTTTCTAGAGAATAGGATGGTTATATGAAGTTTTGAAATTGTATTGATTCCTGCTCGTCACTTGACTTGACTGCTTTCCTTGTTTGACTTGTTTTTCTGCAATCCATTGATGGTTTGACTTGCATGCCTCTCTCTTTGTTTTGGATTGGCATGTGAGGGTCGCTAATCGAAAATTGAGCGAGTGCAATTAGGGAGCATGAGTGAGAGTGGAGCAGGAAAATAATGGGCGAGGAGATGATTTCCATTTAAACTTGCCTGGAGGTCACCGAGGACTTGTGTTTTGAGAATAAGAATCACTACCCTAGTACAAGGTTCAGTCAACTGTAACTAAGGTGAAGGTTACAGAATGGTAAGCAAATGTCCTAGGGGGCCAAATTTGACTACTTTCGTGCTTCATAGCTTTGATTGCAGCATTACACCGGGGATCCTTTCATCTGTTTCTTTGCTTCAAAATCATTGGAGGCATAGAGTTATGTTGCATATGAGTAGTTTTACTTTTTTTAATCCAGTAGATCTTCTTTTAGCCTGTTCTGTGTTATTAAGCAAAATAAGATATTATTTCTTAGGTTTGTTTGGCATTATTAAGTTGCTAAACTTCTTCAGATTCTTACTGCTTCATGGTCTTTAGGCTCCCCTTTGAGAGTGGGGCGGCTTTCTCATGAGGTGTGATCTAATTGTTATCTTTTAGGGGAGTATTTTGGGAGAGAAAGGGTATAATCTTTGGACAAGCAGGGGCAGTGTGAGTGTTAATGGGAGGGAACATTGAGATGCGCATGATTTTGGGCACTAGTTATGTGGGAGAGTTTAGTACTGTGAGAGTAGGGTATTTAATGCATACATGGACAGAATCATGGGTTGTGAAATTCCCAAATGTCGTATCTTGGATGTGAGGTATTCATGAAACATATGCTGAGGGTCGGTTTTGATTGGAGCTCTGTTGGTAGCCTGGTTACATCGGGATATGGGGTTTAACAAGGGATGAGATTTGGTGGAGTTAAGGAGTATCTGTGGTGGAGGCAGAAACTAGAGCTCTCCCTGGTGCCTAACAATGTCCAAAACTTTGGTCGCTTGACCCCCTAGGCGGCCTGTTTCTCAAACTACCTAGGCATGGCCTGGGGTTTTTTTGCGGGGGTGGAGGGTGTCTAGGCAGACTTGTTAAAGGCGCCCGCCTGGTGCCACCTCCTTAATTTTGTTTTATTTTATTTAGTGAGAGAGAATTAGGTCTATAGAGAGAGATTTTTTATTGTTTGTATTTCTATTCATTTATTTTAGAGAGAAAAGTATAGTTTCTGTAATTGTTTTTAGCTTTTTTATTGTTTGTTAGATTTTTTATTGTCTGTATTTCTATTCATTTATTTTAGAGAGAAAAGTATATTTTCTTTAATTTTTGTTCATTAAAAAAGTAAAGTATCTTTTTTCTTTTATTTAGTAAAATACCTTTCTTTAATTTTTAGAAGAGAGAGAGGGTGCTGTTCTTAAAAAAAGCACACGTGGCACATTTACATAATAACCCATGCATATAGGTATAGCCATGTTATTAATATTATTATTATTTATACAACTGCATATTGCCTGGCATTAATATTCATTTTATATACAAATCAAAACCATAACAGGGAGAGAATGCACCCCCCCCATCCCGCAAACAAAAAAAAAATTCCAGGGTTGTCCAGGTATCTAGGTAGCCGCCTAGGCAGTCTGGGCCCCTAGCCAGCCGCTTTCCCTTTGTTGAACATTGGTGCCTAAGTATATATACATTCTCATCTTTCCGTCCGCCCATCATGCAAGGCAGCTGCAACATGATTCTGTGGGTAGAGTAGATGCGCCCCTATTCTCTGGAGGCTTAATGGATGTGATGGACTTTGGAACACATTCAAGCACTATTACACCTATGAAGATCTTAATCCAACATGTTCATAGGGAGGTCAATGGTGCTGGTGCACTAGTATGGGTGGGGCTTCTAGAGGGGTTTGATTATGTGGGATTCTGTCTTGAGCTGTTACTATAGCACTGTTGAAGTAGTTAGTGTCATTGTAATAGTTTCCTTTCGCCGATCATTATTTCAAGATAATTACACATAAAAGAATAAAGAAAACATGAAACCAATCTCTTTCATGTTTCCTATGGAGTAGGGATTTATGATAACAAACTGGAACTTTGTCATTTCTGGAGTGGTTTGATTATGTGGGATTCTGTCTTGAGCTGTTACTATAGCACCGTTGAAGTAGTTAGTGTCATTGTAATAGTTTCCTTTCGCCGATCATTATTTCAAGATAATTACACATAAAAGAAGAAAGAAAACATGAAACCAATCTCTTTCATGTTTCCTCTGGAGTAGGGATTTATGATAACAAACTGGAACTTTGTCATTTCTGTAGGTGTGCGCATCAAAAAAATACTGAAGTTTTACCTTGTCCCCTTTTCCATGGTCACCTCTGCCACTGCCCCATTCTCAAGTTCTTCAATATGGGTTTCCCATCTCAACGTAAATTAATCATCATCATGATCACAGCTTTTTCTCAATTAATTGGGGTCGGCTGATGATAAGTTCTGGCTAAATTTTACATTGGCTGCCTACCTAACACAACCCAGCCCTTTTTTACCTGGGCATGGAACGAGTTAAGGGAAAGTTTAAGATCATCAATGGAAATTAATCCAGTTCTACATTTCAAAGCAATGGTAAAAAACTCAGCTCAAGCTCGGGACTCGGGACTCGGTCACTGCCCGGACTGAGTAACTCGGGTGATTCTGAGTGGTTCTCTTGAGTCTTGTAGGATGCCTAAAACGGGCTAAAAAATTGCCAAAACATACTAAAAAGTTGTTAAAAATAATTAGAAATTAGTAAAAAGCATTAAAAGTCTGTAAAAGATGGAAAAAAAACATATATAAGATGGATTATGGAAAAACTTGATTTGTAGCTTGAAACAATAAAGTAAAATCCCAAAAAAGGGAAAAAATAGAAAACTAGGGCATATAATAGGAAAAGTTCACAAATAATCATAAAAAATAAAAACTATATAGAAACACATTTATACATCATTCGTTAGTGATCTAGTAACAAATTTTTTGTTTTTTAAGTGATTTTAACAAAACTTTGTCTAAAAAGCTCGCCTTGGCAGGATCCCGAAGCTGAATTACTTGGCTGTGTCTGAGTCGACTCTGCTGAGTTTTGAAACATGGTTTCAAAGTGTAGTAATAATATCCAGGCTTTGATGGCTACTTATGTATCTGGCATATGCATGGCGTGGTGTTGATTGGTGGCTTCATTGTTATATTGAGATTGTATTTAATTAACATAAACCCCAGGCAGTTTTATGTGGGTTAATATAAGGTAAAAAGACGTCACCTTCCCCCCTGCCCCCCCCCCCCCCCCCCCCTCCCCCAATCCTCCAATTTTTAAAACAAGGGTCAAAGAACCCCCAAACCCCTTTTAATCCCATTATCTCTCCCCCCATCCCCTTTCTCTCTCTTCTCTGCATGAATCTGCACCCCTCCTTTCCCCATTAACCTTCCCTCTTCTCTCTCTCTCTCCCCCCTGTCAACCACTCCTCTCTCTCTCATGGGGCAGAGAGAGAAGGGTGCAAAAATCTATGGGGAAGAGGCAAGGTTAATGGGGGAGAGAGAGAATGGGACTACAGGGAGAAGGGATTTGGACTAATGGGGGGATAAACAAAAAAGAAAATGGCAATTTGGCAAAGAAGCGGCAAAAGGCATTAGGGGGTTATTTGACCTTTTTTGTAAAAATTCGGGGGTTGTATATGGACCATAAGTTTAGATGTTTGTGTGGAGGGTTTCTTTGTTTTGTTTTGCTTTTTGTTATTTTTGGGGGAGGGGGTGGGTGGTTTGGTTTACATCTTTTTCCCTCAATATAACCTAATATACCTACAAAAAAACTAGTGCAGTAGTGTGCCTATCTTCTGTGGCAATAGTTTGTGACTTTTGTTGATGAGGAGTCTCTAGAATATTTATGTTTGTTTATCTTATCTGATGTAATGCAATCTTGATAATAAAATGATTGCGGAACCTGCTAATTCATGGAACATAATGAAATGTGCCTTTTTAATGCTCCGAGTAAGTCTTACAATGATCAACTCTAAAGATTTTAGTTATGTGCATATTGAATTTTGTCACAGAGTTCTACATCTAGGCTAGTTGATGTTCTGATATATTGAACCTTCTTAAACATTCTATTCCTTATTTTGCATTTTCATACCATTGTTTTTCTGTTTAGAAATTCTATTAAACTTTTCTTAAATTAATTAGTTGCACTTGCATTGTTTTTTGCATTAACATCCATGTGTTACTGATATTTGCTTTTTTCCATCAACATCCTTGTGTTACTCATATTTGCTTTTCTTTGACGATGGCGATATGTGCTTATGTTTGTTGATTAAAGTTTCTGCTACTAATCTTTGTCTTTGTAAAAAAGCAGTTAAGTCTTGCCATACTAATAAAGTTCTGCTGCTTTAGGGCCTGTTATGACTAAATTTACAATTGCTTTGAGAGAGATTGGTACATACAAAGAAGTTCTTCGGTCCCAGGTAATTGAATTTTTCTGTGCATTATAGGAAGAATTAGCCGTAGATGCTAGATATGACATGTAGTTTTGGGTTAGGATTAAATGCTTATTGTATCTATATTGTGAAAATTTATTTATTTTTTTCCTTGGATATATGACTCCTGTACAATTAATAAATGGCATAGTTGCAAAAAGAATATTTGGAGCTGATGCTTATGCTATTCCTGGCTCCAGCATCTTGGGGCACTAATGCCACCTACATTGCACGCATGTCTTTGTTCTCTGCCCTGTCCTATTTGTTGTTTACTATCAATGGAATTCTAGGTTACTTTGAGCGAAATGTCCAACACTCAGAAATGGCCAATGCCATTATTTCACTAGAGAATGTCCTGGCCTTTCCAATGCACAAGCTATCCCCAGTGACCTGAAGTAACTATTTTTAAATAATTGATTATATTCTTAGAAAACCTCCTGGTCACCTGAAATAAACATTTTTGAATGTTTTGTATATTCTTATGCTATGGCTTTCTCTTTCACTATCATTCGCTGGCTAGTGATAACCTCAAATAACTGTTATTAAACAGGTGAGCATTAAAATATTAAGCGTTTTCATACGTTTAACTTCCAAAAAAGAACAGCTGCTCGTTTCTTTCAGTTATTTCATCTTTGACTCTAATATGATTCACCCCATGTGGTTGCTGCTTTTTAGATATATTTATTTTTTCCTTTTCTTTTCAGGTGGAGCACATGCTGAATGACAGGTTGCTACAATTTGTGAACGTTGATTTGCAAGATGTCAAGGTATATTATGGGTTTGTAAAACTGTTAATTACTCTTGATTCACAAATGTGCATTATCGTCCATAAGTTTCAGTTCACACAGAAGGTTACCTGGCAATGCATTATCATTCATATTAATGTTATTCTTTTGTTATCTGTTGAGAGAATGCAGAAGTCATGATGCAATCACTAATCATTGAATATCTTTGGAACTCTTGCACTCTGATTGGATATTCTCAATATACCTGAAAGAATTTTCTTTCATGTATTGTAGGAAGCTAGGAAGCGATTTGACAAGGCTAGCCTTCTTTATGATCAGGTATGCTTTCAGAACTTTCCTTTGGCACTTGAGTTTCTTGGTCTCTTTTAATTAATTCGGGTTAAGATTGTTAACTAGGAGTTCTTTCTCTGGAAACATTCTTACATTACTTGCAAAACATTCTTACATTACTTGCAGTAGTCATTTATGAGTTATCATAACTTCATTATGTGAAATGATAACTTCTGATTCTCTGGAAACATTCTTACATTACTTGCAAAACATTCTTACATTACTTGCAGTAGTCATTTATGAGTTATCATAACTTCATTATGTGAAATGATAACTTTTGAGTCAGGATTTGAAAAACCTTTCTCTTGTAAGAAAGTCGTATTTGGTTTTCCATTTTTGGGCCTTTTACTTAAGGAGGGTGTACCCATATCGATATAATGCATCATAGAAGAATGTAAATGTACATTGCATGATCACATAGATATTCTGTTAAGCTGGGACATCATGTGTTCACTACCATTTATCCCATGGCAAAAAATTTCACCCTACAGTCCCCCTGCATTCTTTTGTCTTGCCTAAATGTATCGTAAATGACATATGGCTTTTCCTGCTCTTGTGATCAGATATGTTTTTCTTTTTGCATTTATCTTATTTCTCTTATCGTATGTCTAGGTGCACACTGGTATGGTCCATGGGTTTATGCTGTTTCTATACTGTCCTTGGATGCCTTTCGTGTTATTCATTTCTTCTAAATCTTTAGCATTGTTTTTATTTTTATTTTTATTTCAAGTGGACAGCATATTGCACATGCTACTTAGTGTTTCTCTGATGTTGATAATCATGTGGACCAGGCTAGGGAAAAGTTTCTGTCTCTGAAGAAAGGTACAAAGGTGGATGTTGTTGCTGTGACAGAGGAGGTAATTCACGATCATATCAGGTTACTATGTAAATTACCTCTTGTCATTTGGAATCTCTGTATCAGTATAGAACTTCCATTTGTTCTATTGTCAGAGTTTCTAATTTAGTTATAGGCATATTCCAGGAAATGCACAATGCCAGGGCATCATTTGAGCAGTCCCGCTTCCATCTAGTATGTATGGCTTTATTCACTCATCAATTAGCTTGAATCGTAATACCTGATTTCTGCTCAAGATGTCTTCATGGATGAGATCTAATACTTAGCCCAAGTAGATCATCATGTGCCTTGGTTTCCTTAAGGTGGCTGCCTTTCTTCATTCAGGTAACTGCTCTTTCAAATGTTGAGGCAAAAAAAAGATTTGAATTCTTGGAGGCTGTCAGTGGAACCATGGATGCCCATCTGCGTTATTTTAAACAAGTAAGTCAGATAATCATATTTTCCTTGCTGTTATTCTCTAGCTTCTCCACAGGTTAGCTTCTCCATAGGTTTGTTGTCACATTATTCCTGAATTTTCTTTGTCTTGTGCACAGGGCTATGAGTTATTGCATCAGATGGAGCCCTATATCCATCAGGTTTGTAGTAGTTGGTAGTTTTGTGTATCACGTAGCTTGCCTTATTTTGATTTTCAAAGCATTGAATTGCATCTATGTAATGTTTTCTTTAGAAACAGCTTTATTCACTGGAATATATCTTATTCAAAGGACTCAGGAACGATGTGCTGCTACTCGAATTGGTGGTTTTATATGCAATTATTTCTTTTCAACATTAAAATAGTCAGACCTACCATATTTGGTTTCCACTTTTTATTCTTTTAAATATGGTTCACTGTGTCACTGATAAAAGAATTGTTTAGATGGCTGTCATTTGTAGTACACTGTGCCCAAACTAGGTTTCTTTGTGAAAGAGTGCACATGCCGAATCAAACCAGAGCAGTTAACCGGACATGGGCCTGGAAGCGGTTTAACCAGCCTAACCGGTAAACCGGCCAATTCAACTACTCTAACTAAGCAAGTCCCGGGCGGTCAAAAAGGTGTTGAAAAAAAATAAAAAAATACAAAAACAACTGAAATATGAAAAGCATATAAAGAATGATTAAAACAAAACACATTCCAATGAATTTGAAAATTAATGAAAAAAATGGATTTAAACCCATTTTATATTTTTCAAGGGCTATTTTTAAAATTTTCTAAAAAAGATGGGAAAATATAAAAGTGAGTATTAATGCCCAAAACAATTTTTAATCTTTACCATAATGTAAAGAATATTTAAAAATGCATTACAAATCAAATTCCTTATATTTGAGAATTTATATACATTTTTTTGAGATTTTTTTTTTTAACATACCAGTTGATCACCCTAACCACTCAAAACTGGAACAGGCCACTGGCCGGTTTCGATCTAACCGGGCGGTTAGCGGTTAGATCGGGTGATTTTGCAAACAATGGTGCGGCTTCTTATCAAGCTATTATATGTTATTTATTGCAGAACCTTTCCCATTTTGTCTGTATGTTGATTAGTTCAATAGAATGTTGTATTTTGCTCTTTTCCTTCTTTGAATGGGTACTGGACCCAATTATATTCTTTGTATTAAGGGCCTAGGATTAGTTCAATAGAATGTTGTATTTTGCTCTTTTCCTTCTTTGAATGGGTACTGGACCCAATTATATTCTTTGTATTAAGGGCCTAGGAGGCAATGAGATCTATTTCAGAAGCTACTTTGCTAGTTGCTTAATGAGATCCATTACTTTGATACAATAACAAATTAAAGTGATCATACTTTGATAAAAATAGTTACTTAGAGATGTCCTCGTACAATTTATCCTATTTAAATTACCCAAAAAATTTCTCCAATTTTGTTGATATATTTGCATGTCTTTTGATTGGTATATTTTGATATATTTGCATGTCTTTTGATTGGTTCTATAGGTATCCATGGCTACACTTGTAATTAGCATATGTAATTAATCACATCTATATTGCGTATATCTGTTAGATAATTCATATTACATCTATAAACAATGAAGTTTTGCGTGAGGGCATGTTTCAACATACGCAATCATGCACATATGAATGCATGCATGCCTGTCTATATATAGTTTATATGTATGTAGATAGTGTGTATGCATGTACTCCGCCTATTCATTGTGTGTTGTGCAAATATTTTGTGGCGATACATTCATGTAATTGATAATAATTGCTTTTAGGTGTTGACTTATGCCCAACAATCAAGGGAAAGATCCAATTATGAACAGGCAGCTCTTGCAGAGAGAATGCAAGAGTATAAGAGGCAGATTGATAGAGAAAGTCGGTGGTCTTCGAATGGTTCGCAGGGTTCTCCTAATGGTGATGGTATTCAAGCCATTGGTAGAAGTTCACACAAAATGATTGAAGCAGTCATGCAGTCAGCTGCCAAGGGGAAGGTTGTTTCGAGCCTTGGGCCTGCTCATCTTCATTTATGAAGTGCTCTAGTATTCAAGAAACATTTCTGTCATGATATTTTCTGGGGAGATGTGCATGTTATCCAGTGAACTATGACATAAACTCATAGACCACTTGGTTCATCACCATCCTGTGAAATGATGGAAGGTGATAGTCAGAAAGTGAGAGTCACCATTGTATTTGTATCCTGTTCTGATGGGTCCGTCTTCCTCTCCTCATCTGCCATTGTTTGATTATATGGTGATGACCCCAATGGATTTTGTGTATATCATAGTCCATTCGGTTACAGATGCTTCTCTAATCTCTTATCCTGGTTTCATTTTCTTATGGATGACACCCCTGAGCTTAGACATTTAATAATGCATTTCAGGTTCAAACTATTAGGCAAGGTTATTTATCGAAACGCTCCTCAAATTTGAGAGGTGACTGGAAGCGGAGGTTTTTTGTTCTTGACAGTCGAGGAATGCTGTACTACTATCGCAAACAATGGTCCAGGCCATCTGTAAGTCATATCATGCCATCTAAATTCACTGGAGTAATGGCTATGAGCTCTTTCTTTTGAACTTCCTTTTGTGATCGGTATCATTGGGTGACTTTTGTTGCTTGTGTAGCTAATTTTGAGCTATGTCCTTTTAGGGCAGTGGAAGCCAAAATTCAAATCAGAGGGGTCATGGCTCTGAAGGTGGTTCTGGACTGTTAAGCAGATGGCTTTCCTCTCATTACCATGGTGGTGTGCATGATGAGAAATCTGTCGCACATCATACTGTAAACCTGCTAACATCAACAATTAAAGTTGATGCAGAACAGTCAGACTTGAGATTTTGCTTTAGAATTATTTCACCTTCAAAAAATTACACCTTGCAGGTACATATTGGAAAGTTCCCATGAACTAAGTTTTGGTTCTCTCATGAATTTAGCTGTATCTTATTCGAACTTAAAAACATTCATTGTAAGATATCTGGAGGAAATGCAATGTTTTGGGTGTCCTTTTGGTTATTTTTTTGGGGTTTCTTGGTTAGGAGTTTTTGGTGTCTTTGGAACAACGACAGTACCACAGATGTTGCAGCCTAGATGTAAAATATAACTCAAATATCTTGGACCTCAGGCGAACAAAGGCTTGTGGAACAGAGGGGTTGATGAGTTATGCTTGTACAGAGTGGCTATTCTATGCTCTCAATTGTGCACTCCATGTGGCTATAATCATATAATATCGCCTTTCATTGTCTTGGTTTATTTATACAGACATGTTTAGTTTTTCCTGACCTGTGTTTAACATTTTTGGTTATGGCCATACAGGCAGAGAGTGCACTGGATCAAATGGATTGGATTGAAAAGATAACTGGAGTAATTGCTTCCTTGCTGAGTGCTCAGTCACCTGAAAAGGTTGCACCGAGCATTTGTGATTATATGGAACTTATGCTGTCAATATTCTTCTGAATCATGACCATTTTGTCTTTCTGATTTCAATTTATTGTATTTCTTTCCAGAGACTGTCTTCTAGCCCACTGAGCAGTGGACACCACCGTGCTAATAGTGAGAGTAGTTCTTTTGGGAGTTCTACAGATCTTGAGCACTCGACTGTGGAAGAGTGTAGTTCCGAAAGGAATTTAATAACAGGGCATCTTGAACGCTCTTCCAGAAGTGGCCAACAGCATCGTTCGAGCGTAAAACATGAGAAGCCACTTGAAATTCTTAGGAAAGTTGATGGAAATGACAGGTGTGCGGATTGTGGTGCTCCAGAGCCAGATTGGGCATCCTTAAACCTTGGTGTTTTACTTTGCATTGAGTGTTCTGGAGTCCATCGTAATCTGGGTGTGCATATATCTAAGGTAAGGAGTAAGTTGAGATGTTCTCTTGACCTTGTTTTATTAAGATTCTTAAATTTTCTTTACATTATTTTGTTTAGTTTTATTGGGAAAGGACATTTTAAAAGAAGAATAATTTGTTGGGAAAGTATTCTATAATCCACTGTTCTTTATCTATCCTCATAATCCACTGTGGTTATTATCCAATAAAACATTAGATGGTGGAGAGAGCGGGACTCACCATGTCCTAAAATCCAAATAAATACTTTTTTTGATAGATGAGATCCTTTTAACTTTTCATTAATAATAATGCTATTTTTTCCATGTACAAGTCCTGATGCTGATTGAATTTACTTCATGTGTAGGTAAGGTCTTTGACGCTTGATGTTAAGGTGTGGGAGTCTTCTGTGATAAATTTATTCCAGTCACTTGGTAATGCATTTGCAAACTCAGTATGGGAGGAATTGCTGGGGTCCACAAATAATTTGAAAGGCGATGGAACCCCTACGAGGTAAGAGATCAGAATATGATGATATTGTATTCTATAAATATTATGTTCAGAATCCTTGCTTAGCATATTTACAATATTGCCTATGTGGCATGGTGGAAAACTGGAAATCCTGATGTCATTTTGTTGTAATATGTGATGCAGTTTTGGTAGGATAGAGAAAAGACCTCACCGGACTCTCAGCAAACCCCATCATACGGATTCCATTTCAGTAAAGGAAAAATTCATTCATGCAAAGGTATGTAATGAAGAAACGTCTTATGTGTTTAGCCTATTTTTTCTTACCCAGGGGAAAGTTGCGGATTAAATTGTATTGTTATGCAACTAAATTTCATGAACATAAATATATTTATTAATTATTTGTATAAATCATCAACGTCATCATCATCATTTGAGCCTTATCCTAGCTATTCGGGGTTGGCTACACAAATCTTATTCTGCCATTCTGTTTTATTGAGGGCCATATCCTCAGTTAGACCATAAGTCATTATATCTTTTCTCACTACGTCCATTCTTGTAGTAATAACTGTTTCTGAGAGAGAGAGAGATAGAGAGATAGAGAGATTCATATGGGTATTTATGCTATATTTCCCTCTCTAGTACCATTTACAGATGTGGAGATAGAGAGAGAGAGAGAGAGAGATTCATATGGGTATTTATGCTATATTTCCCTCTCGAGTACCATTTACAGATGTGCCCCAGTTTTCTAAGATTTTGCCTCCATTTTCAGTATGCAGAAAAAATGTTTGTTCGTAAGGCCATCACAGATCAGCATATGCCTCACATGGCTCAGCAGATGTGGGATAGCGTTCATGCCAATGACAAACAAACAGTTTACCGCCTCATTGTAGATTCAGGTGCCTTTGTAAATGCTGTTAGGGGTCTGGCACCATTAAACTCATCGATTACCCTAGCAAGAGCAATGCATTTGCATGAGCAACAGGGCTTAGTTCCCGATGACAATAGTCACTGTTTGTTTGTGGGGAATGATAGAATAAAGGACTCAGACTCAGTGGGAACAAGCAAGGAATATGTCTGCGAGGTTGAGCAAGGTTTAGAGGGCTGCAGCTTGCTTCATTTGGCTTGCCAAAATGCAGACATTGGCATGATCGAGCTTCTATTGCAGTATGGTGCTCAAGTGAATGTTCAGGATTGGAAGGGGTGGACCCCACTTCACCATTGCCTCCTCAAGGGAAGGAATATGTTTGCAAAACTGCTACTCTCAAGGTTGTTATTCCATACTCTTGTTTTCCTTCCACTGTTAATACTTTTATCTTGACCTACTTTTGCTAGTTCATACACACACAAACGCCCCCACATCCGCGGACACACACCCACCCACCTGCGGACACACACTCACAAACACATTTCATTTTGGAAGCTTCTTATCGCATATCATCCTTCAGTTTAAAGTAGTTTTCTTCAAGTAAGTTGTCATTCATGGTTGCACCCGAGATGTATATGAGAAGTTTTAAGATTTTCTTTATAAGAAGTGGGGTAGTTTTTATTATATCACAGGAAATGACAGATTTCTTAAGAGCCGATGTCAGTATAGCACAAACTTGCTCCAATGATAATTTCCTCCTGATGTAATTTCCTCATACACTCCAGGGGAAGCATGTCAGCAAATTTATTTGTGTTTGCACATTAAGTTAGAGAGAGAGAGAGAGAGAGAGAGAGAGAGAGGCGGGAGGGGGGGGGGGTTACTGTGATTCATTCTTATATTGATTATTTTCATTTCCCTTTCAAAATGAGGCTTGTTACTTGAGGATTGACGTCATATCTTGACCCCATGTCATGGTTGTATAGCTTTGATTATTTTCATTTCCCTTTCAAAATGAGGCTTGTTACTTGAGGATTGACGTCATATATTGACCCCATGTCATGGTTGTATAGCTTTGATTATTTTCATTTCCCTTTCAAAATGAGGCTTGTTACTTGAGGGTTGACGTCATATCTTGACCCCATGTCATGGTTGTATAGCTTTGAATGACACTTTAATTACACCATGTACATGACTTCTCCATGTTTGTTTGCAGGGGAGCCAATCCAAGAGCCACTGATAGAGAAGGTAAGACTCCCTTACAACTAGGGTTAGAAACGGGAACCATGAATGATGAAGAGCTTTTTGTCATGTTATCAGATCCTAACAGATAGCAATGCAAGGCCCAAATGTAGAAAGATTGCCTCTTAAACAAAAAGGTAGAGATCTAGAATTAATACAGTTTGGTGGCTTGAGTATGCAGATATAGTTATAGAGGTCATGGGCCTCCCAATTTACCATGGTATCCCTACATATACCATATTATAAATTTCACTGTACCATCTGGCTTGCAGCATGAGCTTGGTTGGAAGGATTGACCTGCCCTATTTTCGGGTCGCTGTGATGTAGTAATCTATTATGCCCGGTTTGATTGTGGTGTGTCCAATGTAATGTCTCTATGCTTTTTGGTCATTGGCATGGTGATTGGGTTTAGGGAGAAGTGGTCTGATCTATATTGTGCAGAATTTTTGTTTGGTTTTTGAGGGAGTATTGTTGCTTGTGTCTGAGAGGGACTCCTTGATGTACATTATAGAGGGAATATTTATGACGGTTGATGGATATTTGGTAGAAATTCTCTTTCCCATTCTTTTGTTTCTTTTTCATTTTATTTTGTATGGCTCATGAGGCTGGTATATGCACAAATTCCCTTTGGCCTAGGATCTGGCTTAATACCTGCATAATGAGGGATGTGATGTACAATGCTTTTATTTGAGAGTGAAATTTTGTTATTAATTCGCATCATATCATGCCATGTGATGTACAATGCTTTTTTTTTGTTTGAATGTTATGTACAATGCTTTTATTTGAGAGTGAAATTTTGTTATTAATTAGCATCTTAACATGCCATTTATCGATGAGAAAATGAATTCTACCGTTGAAGGACAAGAGCACTCAAGGAGTTTTTCTTGGTCCTTCGTATGCATCAAGGATCCTGTAGAATGCAACTTCAAGCGCTATAGCCATGTTGGTGACTACGCTATGACTCCCAGTGTATACTTTTATTTGGGACCCTTGGTGAATGATGATCTAAAATGGGCCATTGCACAGAGAGAGGTGCTTCCCATGGTTTAAGTTGAATTTTGATGGGAGTATGCGTAATAATGGAATGAGAGCTGGGAGTATGCGTAATAATGGAATGAGAGCTGGGTGTGGCTAAGGAACCAAATGGGACATATTAGTTGGACTACTAACGGGATACTTCGACCATGTCAGTCTATTGAAGCCGAACTTGTAGGTCGAACATTATGTGTGCTGAAGGTTGATGGTCTTGTGCTCAACCTTATAATTGAAGGGGACTTCCATTGTTAGTAATTGGTGCTTGGACCCTAGTTCAACCCTTTGGAGATGGGTTAGTGAGATCTCTAATTCAACCCTTTGGAGATGGGTTAGTGAGATCTGCCGAACTTCTAGGTCTAACATTATGTGTGCTGAAGGTTGATAGTCTTGTGCTCAACCTTATAATTGAAGGGGACTTCCAATGTTAGTAATTGGTGCTTGGATCCTAGTTCAACCCTTTGGAGATAGGTTAGTGAGATCTGCTGAACTTGTAGGTGTGCTCAACCTTATAATTGAAGGGGACTTCCAATGTTAGTAATTGGTGCTTGGACCCTAGTTCAACCCTTTGGAGATGGGTTAGTAAGATCTGTTATCAACGTCCTTCCCTTTGGAGATGGGTTAGTGAGATCTGTTATCATTAAAGGGTTAGAAGAGTGTTGTTTCAGCTGGTAAATAGAGTGAAATTCCTCCTAATGACCTTTTGATTATTTAAGGGTTGGAAGAGTGTTGTTTCAGCTGGTAAATGGAGAGAAATTCCTTCTAGTGACCTTTTGATTATTTTTGATCCTCTGGGCTAAGTGTTTGTATCTTTCATTGACTTGGAAATCTTGTTTAACAGTTTCCAAAAAAAAAGAGTGCACAGAGAGAGAATAGAGTTAAAATGATATTTATTGAAATAAAGGGTAAAAATTCTTTATGCACCGTAAGAAGGTGTTGAAAAATCACATGATCATTCTCCATTGAAAAAATAAAAGTTATTAAATTTAATCTTATAAACATCCTAAAGAATATATTTCCGAGGAGTACCTGAGGGTTGGCACTTTATATTCTTATAACCTAATTTCTAGAATATATTTCCAGAGTACCAAAGGGTTGGCACTTTATATTCTTATAGCCTAAATTGTCTGATCTTTTTGACATTTTAAACGTAGCTTTTTTATTGTGAAGCAATTCTTTGCTAACACTTTTTATATAAAAATGCTGAAATAATATAAAACCCAATAGGATTGCATGTAGCATATACTGTTGTGGGTGGAAAGCACACTATGATTACTCTTTCAAAATAAAAGGAAATGGTCTGATAGGGCTGCGGCCCTATGAAAGTAAGTAAACCTTCACCTCCTAATTCATTGAAAATTGCAATTCAAGTATTGGAAAACCTTTACATTGATCATCTCGGCTTGAACATTACTGTTGTAAAAAAAAATAGATTCTGTCAGCCCATGGGCTGACAACTACAGTGTCAGCCAACGACTCAGATTGAATCTGGGTCGATTATCTAGATTCAATCTATATTTTTGAATTTTTATTTTTTTTTGACAAATCTAAATCATTTGAAATTTGAGACGTTCATTTTTTTCATCAAACATACCCCCAAAAAGTTTTAAGGGTATTTAGATTAATTTTATTTTGTAAATTATTTTTTAATATTTTTAGTACATTTTCCTATTTTTGAATGATAGATATTTAAAATTTCAAATGATTTGGATTTTTATAAAAAAAAAATGAAAATTCAAATACGAAATGAGGTCGTGACCATTGGATCGGATTCAGATTGAATCTAGACCGTTGGCTGACATGATCCTTTCCGGTAAAAAAAAAAAAGATTTCAAGCTCTGAAAATAGTGTATATTGTAACAAATTATCTAGACCATCTATTTAACACCAAAAGCAAGTTTTTCAAATTTTATTGTTAGTGTTGTAAATTGATTTGATGTGAGGCTTTAGTTTGTTTTCATAAACCCTAGACCGTATAGAAACTTCATCCACAATAAAAACTTGTCAAGCCGCTAATTCCTAGATGGAAAGTTTAGAAGTCCACTACAAGAGCATATTTAAAAATAAAAGTTAAATTTTGATTTTGTAAACATCCAAAATAAGATATCCAACGGAGCATGTACCTGCATGATCGAACTATGAAATAAAGTTTGCATATTTATAACGTCATATTTTTACAACTTAATTTTTTCTAATCTTTCATATATTTTAACCACGATGTCTTTTGTTATAATGGTTTAAGAAGGGTGATGATTTTAATTTTTTTTTTTGATGTAGGTTGGGTTAGGTAGGTAGTTAACATAAAATTTTACCATGACTTCTATCTTTTGTTATAAAATATTGTATATAGGAAAAAGTTTATGTAAAGTTGTAAGGTCTAAAATGTAGAATTAAATATGCACCTCTAAAATCTATTGAAAAATATTATTTTAATATTGAAAAACTCTCTAATTGATTATATCGAGATATATGACTACGAAAAAAAAATAAAAAAATTTTGAATTGCAAAAGTAATACATCTTGCAACAAAGTATATAAGACGGTTGATTTTCAAGATTTTCGTGCCTTTATAGATCTACTTGTTTCCAACTTTATAGAAACCTCGCCCATATTTATTCAATACAAGGAAAGAACCTGATTCCAAACCTACGAAGGAGTAATTGGTTTACTTGGAGCTCCCAGAACAAATTCTCCTGTTATATATCTTTATTGAATATGTTTAGATAGCCATTTTTGTGCCTATGCGGCAACTTGTGGTTTAACTCGACCCTGCGCCCGGCCCTGGCAAAACAATTTGCGCCTGTCCCGCCCTTCTCTCTCTCTCTCTTTGAATTACCAACTGTATTCTGCAAATTAAGCTCTCCCTCTAGATTAACATAAACTTACTGCAAATTAAGTTTGATATTCGGATAAAATCAACAGCCTCATTTTCATCTTAGGGGCAAGTTTTCACTGAATGAGTTCACAACGCCTAATATTGCCTAGAGTGTGGTTTCAGTAATGAAGGGCGACAATGGTTTCTCTCGTGATGCTTCTCTCTCTCTCCATCACATGAAATTCTCCATAAAAACCAGAGATTTATGGGACTCTCAAAGCTCTCAAATCAACATGGTTTCCAAAGCGTTCAAGCCCAGTTTTCCCAATTCAAATTCAGGTTTTTCTCAGGAACCCCACATCTGTTCAACAAAACGCCTAACAGAAATCTTCACCCTTTGGACATGGAGGTATCAGCTTGCCTCAAAGAAGGAAACCCAAGAGGAGCTCTGCAAGTTCTTGAAAAAGCTAGCCTTTCAGGTCTCAAACCAACACAGATAATGGTTTCCTGTGCTCTTAATGCATGTGGTCTTCTTGCCAATATGAAAATGGGTGAGAAACTCCATTGCTACTCTGTGAAAACGGGATTCGAATTGATGGGGAGTCTGGGTAGTGCTCTTGTAGACATGTATGCTAAAAATGGTGAAATGGGTCTTGCACATAAGGCCTTCAGTGAGCTCTGTGAAAGAGATGGAGCCACTTGGAACTCAATGCTCTCTGGTTATTCGCATTCTGGTTCCTTTGAAGAGACGGCTAAGATTTTTGAGCTCATGAACCAGGAAGGTGTAGCCCCTAATCAGTTCACTTTCGCAATCGTTCTTTCTGCCTGTGCAAAATCGAGAGAACTTAATCAAGGTAAAAAGGTTCATTCGATAGTTATCAAATTGGGTTTTGAGTCTTATAAATTTTGTGTAGGCTCTCTGATTGGTATGTATGCTAAATGTGGAAGTATCTTAGATGGTCGAGTGGTTTTTGATGGATCAGTGGAACCAGATATAGTTTCTTGGACAGCCATGATTGCTGGATATTTGCAGGTTGGTTCAGTACAAGAGGCCCTGGAATTGTTTTTGGGTATGCAAGAACAAGGACTCAAACCAGATCAGGTGGCTCTGGTGACTATTTTGAGTGCCTGTGTCAAATATGGCTGGCTCAAAGAGGCGAGCAAACTTTTTAAGCAAATGCGTGAGCCTGGTGTAGTGGCCTGGAATGCGATGATTTCTGGTCATGCTCAAAATGGGTTTGAGTTAGATGCTCTGCAAATCTTTGGAGAGATGAAACTGAGTGGAATTAAGCCTACGCGATCCACTTTAGGAAGCATACTGAGTGCCTGTGCTAATCTAAGTGGTCTAGAGCAGGGTCTGCAAATTCATTCAGAGGCAATTAAGCTTGGATTGGATCTCAATTTCTATGTGGGCAGTGCCCTGGTTAACATGTATTCCAAATGTGGGTTTGTAAAAGAAGCAAAGCTTTGTTTTGAAACATCTGGAGAGAGAAACATTGTGCTTTGGAATGCGATGCTGTCTAGCTATGTTCAAAATGAGTATCATTTGGAGGGAGTCAGGCTCTTTGCTTCCATGGTTGCTTTGGGTTTTAGACCTGACGAATTCACCTTTGGTAGTATTCTTAGTGCATGTGGAAACTTGGGGTTTCTTGAATTGGGTCTGCAACTTCATGCCATTATAATCAAAAGCAATATCGAAAGCAACATATTTACAGCAAATGCAATTGTGGACTTCTATGCAAAGTGTGGAAAGCTTGTTGAGGCTTTTCTTCAGTTTGAGGTCATTCCTTTTCGAGATACAGTTTCATGGAATGCAATTATAGTGGGGCATGCTCAAGTGGGCTATGAGGAGGAGGCTCTAGCTTTCTTTCATCGAATGAATTTAGACAAAGCTTCCCCAGATGAAGTTTCCCTGGCAAGTGTGCTCAGTGCTTGTGCTAATATACGAGCCCTTTGTGAAGGCCTGCAACTCCATGGATTCTGTATCAAATTAGGGTATGAATCGAATCTTTATACAGTTAGTGCTCTTATTGATATGTATGCCAAATGTGGGTTCATGGAGTGTGCAAATAAAATACTAATTTACATGCCTGAATCTAATGTTGTTTCGAGGAATGCAATAATTTCAGGGTGGGTTCAGAATGACAACCCTGAAGAAGCAATTAATGCATTTAAAAGGTTGCAGGTTGAAGGGATAAAGCCAACACAATTCACATTTGCAAGCATTCTAGTTGCTTGTTCTGATCTTTTGAGTTTAGACAAAGGAAAACAGGTCCATGGTTACACTTTTAAGAGTGGGTTTCTCTCTGATTCCTTCTTGGGCAGCTCTGTTTTGGACATGTATGCAAAGTGCCAGGCTACCATGGATGCATATAAGCTGTTTCATGAGATCCGTGATAGATCTACAGTGCTCTGGACCTCCATGATATCAGGTCATGCTCAGAGTGGTCTCAATGAGGAAGCTCTTGATATGTTTCGAGAAATGATGGGCGACATGGATGCCAAACCAGACCAAGCCACATTTTCAAGTGTTCTCAGAGCTTGCTCTAGCTTAGCAGCCTTGAGTTTTGGCAAAACTATCCATGGCCTCATTACTCGAACTGGGTTTAGTTCAGATGTCTTCACAGGCAGCTCACTGATAGACTTCTACACAAAATGTGGCGCCATTGAAGAAGCTCGAAGAGTTTTTGAGGAAATGAAAGTGAAAGATTTGGTTTCATGGAATGCCATGCTCGTGGGATATGCTAAAAATGGGTATGCCCATGAGGCACTCAACCTCTTTGCAAGGATGGAGCATGACGGTATGATGCCTGACCGTGTCACATATCTTGGTGTTCTCACGGCATGTAGCCATGGAGGCATGGTTTCCAAAGGACGCGAGCTCTTTAACTGCATGGCCATGAAGCATGGGATCATGCCGAGGTATGATCATTATGCATGCATAGTTGACCTCCTTGGCCGTGCTGGTCAGCTCCAAGAAGCTGAAGATTTTATAAATAAATTGCCATTTGAGCCTGATTCTGTAATTTGGTTTACCTTGCTCTCAGCTTGTAGAGTTCATAAAGATAATTTGATGGGGAAGAGAGTAGCTGAGAGGCTTATTGACTTGGAACCTCAAAACTCTTCGACATATGTGCTTCTTTCTAATATATATGCGGCTACGGACAATTGGGATGGAGTTAATTTGGTGAGGAGAGAGATGAGAGAGAGAGGAGTGAGAAAATCACCTGGATGCAGTTGGATTGAGGTGGGGAACAATACTCATTCCTTTGTCGCTGGGGATAGATATCATCCTCAAAGTGGAGAGATATATGCAGTTTTGGAGACTTTGGTTGAATGGCTTAGAGATAATGGTTATGTTACCATGTTTGAGTTAGTTTTGAATGAGGAGGACCCATGCTTTGAGGGTATGGAACACAGTTGCTTTGGTGAGGAGAGAGATGAGAGTGAGGGGAGTGAGAAAGTAGCCTGGATGTAGTTGGATTGAGGTGGACAAGAAGACTCAGTGAGATAGGAGGCGGCTCATGAGATTCTATCTGAGATACAATATAAGGGTCTGGCTCCCGATGATTTTCCCAATGATTTCACATACACAGTAATGGTAAATGGCATTGCAAGGCATGCAAAATGGAGGAGGCCCATTGCTTGTTTGAGCTGATGCAAGTACACTTCCAAGTGCAATATCTTAGTGCAATACTTATTGATGGGCACAGTCATGAAGAGAATATGGGAGAAGCTTTGAGATTGTTTGAAGAGATGGTGGCAAGGGGCATCAAGCCTGAGGACGTGACCTATGGTGTGCTCATCCATGCTCATTGCAAAGAATGAAATATGATTGAGGCCTTCAAGCTGAGAAATGTAACTCTAGATAATGGAGTGACAATGGGTGTTGCTATGGATTATGCGCCTATAGGTGCAAGGGTGATCTTGGGGAAGCCTTAAGATTGCTTAATAATAAGATGGAGCAGGTGAAGGACTAAGCTAGATAATGCCACTTATAATATTTTGATCCATTTCTTGTGCGAAGTGGGTAATCTGGATGAAGAGACTATGCTGCTACAAAATATGATAGATGGTGGGTTTACCCCAAGTAATGAAGGTATGAGTGCACTGATTAAGGGACATGAGAAAATGGACAATGCCCGAGGAAGAAGTTGCTCTACAGGCTAGACATATCTGATGTTGAAGAAGTATAGTTATGTTCTTATTAGTCTGCATAGTGGGGAAGGATGGACTTCCTTCAAAAGAAATATGGCAGGCAAGTAAAGGCCATTTAAGGTGGTGCCAGCAAAGTTGAAAACTGCCTCCATTTGGCCAATACTGCTCCAGACTGAAACAAGTAGTTTTACCTTGTTCATTAAAGAATCTTTAAATTAAAGAGTTCTCTATTTAGGATTCAATTCTTTCTTTATGATTGTTTATAACAGAGAATTCTTCATTGAGAGAAGCCATCATCAAGACGATTCTTAATCTTTTTTCAAATCGGAGTACGTTGAAATAGCAAACGAGTAATCATCAGTGACAGTGGTAGATCAATTGTTGGACCCCATTGTCCATGCATCTAATTTGGGAGACGAGAGTTGTGTAAAAGTTGGAGCCTTGGTGGTCCTTTTCATATTTCCTTTATTTATAAGAATGGAGAGCAGATAGTAATCAAAGCAATGTATACTTCTCATACTCAATAAGAAAAGACTTAGAATCATGGGAAATTAAATGTTTTACACGTTATCATAGTCATAGCATAACGGTTGATGGGATTGTTTTGTGAAATTTTCCTGGATTTGATGCTTATCTAAGCTATTTATTAGAAGTTTTCTGCTGTCTTTCACCGCATTCATGTAATGTAGACATGGACCAGTTCCAAGAAACTTCTTTTCTAGGTCACCACTCTAAATATTGTTATATATCCAATCAATGAATAGCGGTCAAAGTTGTTGAGGTTCCTTTGGGGTAGATCAAAACTTTTGTAAGAAATCAAGGGTGCGGTTTGTATAGAGCCAAGGCTCTAAACAAACAAAGCAGAACACACCTTTGAATAGTGTCGAGAAATGTGGCTTCAATACTAGAAATCTTTGTGACATTATTAAAATATAGTTTCATCTCTAATTATAAAATTTAAAGCTTAAAAAATAGTGTAGATCGAACATATCCATGAAAACTTGAAAATTGACAGTCCAAAAATGCATTACAAGAAGCACTATTTCCAAAACTTGAAATTCATTTTTTTCTCATATCCATGCATCTTGATGTCAAGATGATCAATTTGAAGATATTTGGGCATAAAAACAACCTCTTCTAGTGAAATTTTAGAGGCCCACTCTAATTTGATTGTTTAGAGCCTCAACTCTATATAAACGTTTTCCAAAAATCCAACACCCAGCTACTTCTTAAGAGATACTTCTCTGTTATCATGTTCATGTTATTTGGATAATTGTAACCATTTTTCAGGGCAAATCAAAACTCTATATGGAGTTTAACAACTAGCTGATGCTAGTAAGATACATATATTTATCTTTATTTTCCATGGATTTTTATATCATTATATCCAAACTATACTATTTATGTCCTTTAATGTACAGATTGTCGTAGGGTACGCATGCACATCTTAATGTCTTGAGCCTCTCTTCTTGCTCACGCAATATGGCAATGACTACAGATTTGTCCTAAACAATCAGAAGAACCTGGACAGTTCCCTTGAAAACTGATCCAGATCAGGTGATCCCTATCTGGATTGGCATTTTTCAAAACACAGATATATACCAAGTCATATGTTTGAATTATTAGACTGTCCCATCCAGATTGAGATTAAATACTTGTGCTGAATCTTGCTGCAGAAGCTAAGAGAAAGAAAGCTGTGGAATACCTCCTTAAACCATTTGATAAGTGGAAAGTTGAGTTTTTTTGTAAAACCTATGGTCCTTTGGTAAATTTTTGAAATCCTTAGGTATTTTTGCCAAGTTCATAGAAGCTCATTTAACAGTTCCCTTTTATTTTCTTGCCCTTGTGGATAACCCTTCAAATCAATTTCTGTCCACTTGACTAATTTTGTCTTCATCTCATTATTGAAAATTATCTTGCTGTGTGCCGTGTAACATCCATATCTGCTCATCTTAATACTTAATAGTTTCCAATGGCCCTTTTGTTTTTAATTTCTTCTCCAGAATGCTCTCTCTTTCTCTTCAAGGCAAGTGGTGCCACCTCTCTCTCTCTCTCTAGGAAAAACACTTTTTGAACCTCGAGCTCAACAGAAGTAAAACCTTCTCTCTTAGAACATATTTATCTCTATAATTATTATTAAGCAAGCAGCATGTCTGATTAATCACAGTACTTCGTGCAATAATACAAAAGCCCTTCTTCTCTGCATCTCTGGTTATATTTACAGGCTACAACATGCAGTGAAGCAAGCATGCCTTTTCTCTCACTTGGGTGAGGCCTCCTCTTTGAAAACTCCCTTCTGGTACTCGGCCTCGCAGAATTCTCCTCCTAAGTCATCGCACGCCTCATTAGGGAACACACTGCATAGTCAAAAGTCACATAAAAATCTCAAACATCTCTGAGAAGCTCTGAAAATATGAGGAGAAAACAATTCTTAAGGTGGGGAAGAGAGAGAGAGAGAGAGAGAGAGAGAGAGCTCAGAAGAAGAATAGAAGGGTACCTACTAAATACAAGAATACAATAACAACAAGAATATAGAATA